GCGTAGTGTTGATGGGTGAACTACCTGCCTTGGAGCCTTGTTTTATCTGCCTTCCGCTGTCCTGAGGAAACCAGTTTTATCTTATACAAAATGACTCAGTCTTGTAAGAAAGCAAGCTGATATCCAGATTCGTCTGCATGAATTAACTTGCTTTTTTTTCTTCTTTGCAACAGGAAGCGCAAAGCAGGCTTCTATGTAAAAATCTTACTGTAGTTCTGTTCTTTGTTGCTTATTGAATGTTGGCATTGTTCCCCACATGTATCAAAGGGTATATAACTCCAGTGATGATTTAATGATAATGCCAGTGGTGGCTTTGGCTTATTGACTTGCAAGATTGCATTGAGAACTCATCATTCCCAGTGAAAAGAATAATGTTCTACTTTCCTTTCTGTAGTGGATAGTTAATATTCTGAAAAGACTTTTAAAGCCTAAGCCTATGCTAACATGAGAACATATCTATCTATACTTTTATTCATTCATTCATAGCTCTGTAGTTCATTTACCATGTTTATGACTGCAACCAGCAAGGACTCACTAGCACCCCTTCTGAGTTCCAGGTTCTTTTAACAGAACCTGAATAGAGGAGCATTTTCTTTTGGCTTTGAAAAGTTTTTACACAAGTTTTTAGACCAGGAAAGTTGTCATTCCAGTGGCACTATTCATACCACTCTATTTGAGCTTTTCGATAAATTCTTGTTGTCGGTGGCTTAAAACTTTTTATGCAAAAATGCTTCCCCTCCAAGCTATACTTGACAAACATCATCTTACGCTTTTGTTTCAGAGTTTCATGGATTCGTATGGTACGTTATAAAAGTCTACTTAAAGTGCTTTTAAAATGTGGATTTAAGAAAATACTTTCACCCACTTGAGAAATGTAAACATTGGATATGAGAAACTTTTTAAGGATGGCTTTGCTTTAAGGTGTTTTTTTAAAAATGTTTTTTTTAAATATTTCAATTTGCTCTGGCAAATATGTTTGAAAAAGATTAGCACATTCAGTAGTCCAATCAAAATAATATTTTAAATATGATTGCTATAGAACTAAAATCTTTTTGGCTTGTACTTGTGAGAGAAATCTATTGTTCCAAGTATTTTTAGTATGTTTTTGCATCTGAATTTATACAGTTTTTTTTGGTTCAAGATTAGGCATCAAGTTGCCCTTATTTAAAATTATTATTTTAATCTTGTACTTGGTGCACTGTAGGTGTGTTTTAGTGTGTAGTATAGTACAGTATTGTACACATAGGCAAAATCACAGATTCTAGTCCTGTAGCACTAACGGTCTAAATTGCTTGAAGGGCATACACAAGATTTGCCTTCTGAAATAGGGTATGAATGTGGGATCTCGTAAAACCTTTAGCAGCAACATTTCAGGACAGCCATATTACTTAACCATTGTAAAACCATGAGTGAAATATGTAGAGCTTCTCAAGAGTAATTCAAAACTTTATAGCACCCCAAGCCCTTGCATAAATTATTACATATTCAATGCAATTTTGTTAGAGCAAAATGACTTCTTTGAAATCGCTTATTCTCATTTTGCTCAGTTCCTATTTCTTTATTGTTTCTTCCTACTTTATCTCAAATTACTTTACTTGCTCATTTGACTTGGTCCTCTTGTCTCTGGTAGAAGGATAGCATTTCCACAATGAGCTTCTCCCCAGCCCTGTCTTTGCGTTACTGTTTGACTTCAATCCAGGTCACATCAGCTTCCTTTAGCCTACGGTGTATTCCTTTTCTCTAGGACTATTTCAGTATTCCTCTCTTGTAAAAAGGTTAAAAGCCGAAGTTTAAGTTTTATGGTATGAGGCTTTGGATGCTCAGTTTGTTCACATCCTTGGAAAAGGGGTAAATGGCACTCAGTCACTGTGATCTGCTTCAATGTGAGAGGGGTCTCCAGGGGCATGGGGCTTCTTGAGTTGGCTGATGGTGTGGGTAGGGTTTTATGGCTGAGCTTTAAGACAGAGAATATGGTTTCATGTGAAATGTAGCTCCCTGGCATTTTGAGGAGGTTCAGCATTGTTGCAGTTTTTGCTATGGGCACAATAGGTTCCAGTGTCTTAGGGCTGTTGAGAGGAAGCTGCTTTTTCTTTTGAGAAAATGTGCTTCATTTTTAAATGCAAGGAATGATGTGGCTTGTGTATCCAGGTTAAGAAGGTTGGATTGGGTTGTGAAGGTGACCCTTTCAAGGTTCGGTTTTTGTTTGCCATGATCACCCTTCTTCCTCTTGAGTTTTTAATGAGCTTATAGTACTTCTTCCACCAGGCTTGCTTTGTAGTTAATCAGTTAATCTCACATTGCAGGGCTTCAGTTGGTTTTCTGAAAACCAACAGAAGCAGGGATGTTTTTCATCTAAGAGCACAGTTTGGAGGTCTTTGTTCTCCCCAAATATCAAGACAGAAATATGAACTGGCAGGATAACAACCCTATGCCATCATGGGAAATGTGCCCATGTATGCAGGAAAGTGGAAAGATTTGTGCTGGAATTTATTGAGGCTTAATGAAAGAAGGGTAGAGCATGTTAAGGGGGCATCGTCACTCAGGGTCTAAAACAGTGGTGGCCAACCTTTTTGTGAGGTGCGCCACAAATTAGCTGTGAGCGCTCCCCAAGAGCCACTCTGATCCCCTTCTCCTGCCTAATCTGCTGCCTTTTTTTCTGCTCTTTGCACTATTTGCCACTGTGCTGCCAGTCCCCTTCCTGATCTTCTGCATATCACACACACAGGCTGTCTGTGGTGTGCACACTGCGGGTTGGCCACCCCGGGTCTTGAGGATGCAAATGATCTGTGAACTGGAAGGGTAGGATTAATGCACACAGGCGTGATCTCTCAGCTGTATTGTTTACTATAATGCAGGGGCTTTCAGCCTTATTTGAGGAGTGTACCCTTTCTGGTGAGTGGTACTCCTGGTGGGTACCCCCTTTTGGATGTGGAGCTGGGGGGATCCCCCAGCAGCCGGTCTAGCAGGGGGCCAAATGTTGATGGGGTGCTTAGCGGAACACCACGTACCCCCTAGGGCCTTCCCAAATACCCCCAGTGGTATGCGTGCCCTGGTTCACAACCCCTGCTATAATATATTAAGCTTATAAGTCCCTTGGAAGTATATTAGTAATGGAGGAAACCTTGCTGTCATCAGTATGAGCGGAGCTGAGTTTAGAGAGCTTGGCAGGGAGGAGTGCAATGCTGAAATTCTGTTTCTGGTTCACTTACTATTCAGCAGGTGTTTTTGTTAGGTGTAGGCTTTCATATTGCTCCAAAGCTAACTTCGGTCTTATTGCTTTTCTAGCTTTCCTGGTGGGTGTCACCTGTACAGTGTTCAGTGGTGCAAAATGTAGTACTTGAGCTCATAAAGTGCTGCTAACTCTGACTGATGAATAGATTGTAATGGAGTTTGTGATGCTTGCAAATGTCACCTGAAGTCAGTTTATAAAATGTCTTAAAGCAATTCTTGACCAGTCTTAGGTGGCAGGTGGTGTGACAGAGCTGTTTATTGAAAGCATGGCAGGGGATAGCCTCACAATGCTTTTAAGTCTTGGATGAGCTCTGCTTTAGGAGGCAGAAGGATTCCTACTGATTTCAGGCATTTCACTAGAGAAGGAAATAAAATGAGAGCACATTTTGTCCATTGGAATTCCAGAGTTAATTAGGAGAGAGACCTGTAAATTGGCCAACTTGCCTTTTGTTCCCCTCGTCACTGTGCCTGGTGTATAAAGGCTAGAATAAAACTTCTGGCTTTTTATCTGCTGGGTTGCTCATAAAGGTGGGTTTTGAAACCTGTACGTGACTGAAACGCGAGTTGTTGGTTCTGATAGTTTAACTGGTTTATACTGTTTTATTCTTTCATAGGTTTGGTTGGTAATGGTTATAGTGTTAAAGAAAGATGTTCAGACTTCTGGAAGGCAGTTGACTTTTTGTAACTGTATGGCATTTTGATTAAGAAACTAGACGATAAGATAATTAGCATGACACACATTCATGGAATAGACAAATGGCTGTCTCAAAACATTATTGTACATGGGGAATGGTCATCACACAATACGTTTCTATGAAGTTTGCATAGGGACCAGTGCTTTGAGCCTACCTTATTTAACATTTTTATCTGTGACCTAGAAGCAAACATAAGATCTTCCCTGGTAAAATGTTAGTACTTGGGGAGTGCTAAATAATGAAGAGGACAAGTTACAAATATTGCACAGTTTACAGCTTTTGGTAAGCTAGGCACTAGTGAAGGCACCTATTTCAACGTGCTTATATGTAAAGATGTATATCTCAGGATAAAGAACATAGGCCTTGCTTATAGGATGGGGACTGTCCTGGGAAGCAGTAACTCTGAAAATGACTTGTTATGCAGGGTGAACTTGTTTCCAAAAATACAGTGGCTAAAAGAGGTGACATGATCATTGGATAGCTAAACAAGGGCATCTGGAGGAGTAGTGGGCAGTTGATAGTACCTGTGTGTTTGGTTCTAGGCTGCTTGCTGCTGGAGAGCTCTGTCCACTTTTGTTGTTTGCCATTCATTAAGGGTGTGGACATACTGGACAGGGTTCGGGGAAGAGCCATGAGGTTGCATAAAGGATTGGAAAACATGTCTAGACTCAAGGAGCTCAATTTGTTGAGTTTATCACAGAGAAGTGGAGGCCTAAGGGTCTGAAAAGTACCTTCACAGTGAACAAAGGTTTGATAATGGGCCCCTTCAGTCCGTCAGACAAGGGCCTGAAACTCAAGCCGGACAAAACTGAGCTAAAAATAAGGTATAGATTTTAGACAGTGAGTGTAATTACCCGTTGAAAAAACTTACTATGGGTTGTGATGGATTCTCCGATAATGGCAATTTTCAAATCAATGTTGGATGTGTTTTTAAAGGAAATGCTGTAGCTTAAATAGGAATTAATTCAGGGGAGTCCAATGGCTACATTATTCAGGAGGTCAGACCAGAGGATCACAGTGGTTCCTTGTGGCAGTATCATTTGAGTAATTTGAGGCTTCTGTTTTGTTTGGTAGGTACGTTGATGATGTGATCAACCGCATTGACAGGATGTTCCCTGAGATGTCCATCCAGCTATCCCGACCCAATGGTACCTCTGCAATGCTTCTGGTAAGCTTGGTTCTCAGGGACTCGCTTGGGATGGGTTGTATAACGGTCACTGGCATACATACCCCAAAGCCCCAAGCCCTTTTCAAAAGAGTACTCTTGAGGTCGTACAACACCACCACACGCTGCTTTCTCTCAAAAGGAGGATGAGAAAATATTTGCGAAGTAATCCAAAAGTAAGGACAGCCAGTTCTGCAAGACTTCCTGGGAGACCTGAGAAGCAGGCATATCAGCCTGCAGACACGGCAAACAGGGAGTCCCAGCCTTATACAAGGGAAGTGTAGAAGGAAAGGGTGAGGAGAAACTAAGTTGCTTCACTTGTTTTGTGTTCACTGATAACTAGCAGCCAGTGGATTATAGGATATGTTGCTCAAAAGGGTTTTGCCCTCTATATAAAATCTACTTCATGCATATTTTCCTCGTGTGGTGTAGTGCATCTGTTGTAGCAGGGGTTAATGTATTTAATCAGAGGCGTTTGGGTTTGAAAAGAGATGTAAATGATGAAAAAGTACCTTCTCTTCAAGAGAATAATGTTCTGTGTTAATCTCCAAGCTACTTGGGTATGATCATGTAATACATGGAGCCTATCCGGCCTCAGACACTTTAACTATGCCTTCAGCAGCCCTAGTAGTGAGAGAAGATTTAATGACAACTTTAAAAAAAAATTATCCTCTGTGAAATAAGCTTGTCCAAATTGTTTCTGGGTCAGTGATTTCCTATTCCCTGATGAAGTCAGGAAGCTGGCATCAGAGTGCATGAACAGTAAAAACTGGCTTATTGATAAACAGGTCTAAGGTATTAGACTTACTTCTGCCTGAGCAAACAAGCTTTCATTCCACAAGAACCTATTAAACACATCAATTTTCTCATACAGCTGTTGTATTAATATCAAGGAAGGAGACTTTAGAGTTTCCAGTGCAGCATATTAACTTGTTGAAATGAAGAGTGTTGAGCTGTGCCAGTGGAACACTTCAGTATGAAATGGAGCTATTTTTACTGTATTGAGATGGAAGTAGACGTTCCATTATTTACCGTATTGAAAATAAAATGGAAAAGCAGTATCCTATAACTGGGGGGGACCTATTCAGTCCTTTTCCATCTATGCTTCACTGCATTTCCTGATTTACAATTGGGTTCTTTCCCATTGTCGTACAAAAAATTATGAAAAGATTATATATTATGCATGTATATATAGTTCCTTTTTTACCAAGTGAAGGTGAAAATGAATCTAAAATCAGAATCATTGAAGCAACAAGCATCAGAGCTATGGAACCAGTTTAATATACTAGATTTACACTTTCAGGTGTTGGCCACTTAAACCCCTTTTACTGTAATGATTTAAACTTGATTTTTTTTCAAGAAGGGAAAAGAAAGTCTTGCAAAAACGTGTGCTGATTTGTAATTATTGCATCCAAGTAGGCATTGTATTACCTTTTTTTTCTTGGCAAAGAGTTAAAGCTTGCTTTTTAATATCCAGTCTGAGCCAAGGTTGAATCAAACAGCAAAACATAAGTTTAAATATTTTTGTGACTTAATGCCAGAATTGTTACTTAGATCTTGAGTTGTTTTCATGGACTCCATAGGCCTTGGAATCCTCACTATGGAAAGATATCCTTTGCCCTCCTTGAAGGGATAAGTTCACTTATCTATGATAATAAATCTAGCGGTGATTATATTTAGTTTCAGTTAATAATGGAGGGTTAGTTAGTTGACTGATTTTTGTTTGTTTGTTTGTTTGTTTTTGTTTTCTTTTAAAAGACAAAAATTCATTTAAAAAATGAACTGAGTCGGAGGTTAAAGTAGGCAACCAGCTTTCGCTGGCTTCGGAACATTTAATCTGCAGTTGTTTAATTTGCCAAGGGGTACAATATAGTCCATGAGAAATTGAATTCAATAGCACAATCCTAAGAAACCATATATTTTCACTTACCGTGATGCCTTGAAACTTGCTCTTAGGTTTTGTCTTATATTTAACCCTTTCTGTGTGTAAAAAAAAAATAAATAAATAAAAAAAAATTAATTAATTAAAGTTCTTTTAAAAAGTAATTTTTATTTACTCACTTTGAACTTATTTGTGCCATAAACTACTTTGTGTCATATACTGAGTATCCTTATCTGCTCTGTATTTACTGGGAGACAAGGGCAATCAGTGTTTATCAAGCTTCAAAAACAAATTGGTAAAATTTGCAGAACTTGTGAGGTATAAACTGGAGAAAATAATTTAGGTTGAAAGAGTTGTGGTTGTAAAAGAAACCTGTGCTTTGTGATAAAGAACAACTTACTGAGCAGGGGCATCATCATTGGTAGTAGATTCCTGCCCTGTACTGGTCCAGTGGTATTCACTTTTCACTTGGCATTCACCTGCTCCAGGAACAGTGATCACAAAACCTTGTTTTCAAAGTGTTTGCTGTATATGGTCGTGACAGGTTTGTCGTTTCTCCTCTCAAGGCAGCTTTTCCTTCTTTCCCATCTGTCTCGGTGGATGTTGCCAACATGGCACTATCCATCTGGCCTTGACTGCTGGAAAAGGTTTTGCTGTTTTCAGCCACCAGTCATCCTGTGAAAGTTGTTATAAGATGGGCTGTGAGATGAGCACCTCTGTCACTGGGGACAAGTGAAGCTTGGTAGAAACAAGTCCCAAGTCGGTGTGGTTCAGTTCACAGGGCTTGCCCAACAGCTCTGCCCCAGCACCAAGTAGTTCTCAAGGTATTGCTCATTTCGTTAAAAAAAAAAAAAAAAAAA